GTAACTAACACTAACTTCTGACCTTGGAGACCGATTAGTGCGATTATCATTTATCATCTTTAATGTTTAATATATTCAAAAAAAGACTTCATTAAAAAAATCACATTGATAGACTTCTAGTTCATACTGCCACTTACCTCCTCTGCAACAGGAGCTCAGTGGATCTAAGCTTCATTCATGCATCGCTGCACAGGAGGCAAACACTAACTGTAAATGTCTGAAATGATCGTGTTTACGGTGTTTACACGACTCCTGGTCATTAAATCAGGTTGTGTGCTTGTAATTCGCTTCCAGGATAAAGGTAAAAACCAGGAAGGGCCAAGAATGGACGGGGATCACAGAAATGATGCCAAGAATAACGAGGACGTGAATTACGAGGAGGAAGAAGAGGAGGGGGAGGAGGATGCAGACAAGGGAAACGATCGAAGGGCAGAAATGTAGAAGTGCCTTTTTGTTTTCTTTTAAAGCTTGCCTATAGTACCAATCAGGGCATTCTTTCCCTTGAATCCCAAAGGAATAGCACCAGCCATCCGCTGAGATAAAACTGGGATATTATGCTCAGAAGATGGGGGACAATATTTCAAACACTTCTGAGATTTGAAAGGATCAGCTGACACTGTGGAAATGGACAAAATTTGGTGGGTGTAAATGAGATCTATACTGTATAGTTTTTATATAATTTTTATTCATTTAATTTTCCGTCTACTTTCTCGTCTGCCTGACTGCCTGGTTGTTCTTGTTTTTAAGAGCAGGCAGAGAATGTATTTTGTTTATCAAAGTGCTTTGTTTGAGCGTGTGTGTGTGTAAAGGATGCATGTTTATTCTGATGTCATGATCAGGCCTTCATACATATATATGTGTTTCATGCAGACAGTTGTAATCTCGGTAGAACTCAAATGTCATTTTCTGTTATTTATTTTTTAATAGGACGAACTCTGACAATCATTAAAAAGTGCAAAATTTCGATTTTTAAAAGTCTGTGTTATCGTGATCCTTACCAGTTTTGTAAAGCTGATACATAGGTGCATAAAAAAAATCCTGGATATTATTACAGATGCCAATCGGTAAGCCACTTCTGGTGAAGCTGCTCACTGTGACATGTGCCTTTCCGTTCTCCTAAGTCTTTTTAGGTCATTTTACATTTGGAAAATCATTTTTGATGAGGTGGGAGCGAGAAGAGCACACCAGTTGGTGATCCTTAAGCTTCATTCAGCATGGCCTTTAATGGAGAACTATTTCATGTCCACTGCTGATGGGAATTTACTCTTAATTTACTGCAGCTTCTCTAGTCTGCTGGGCAATGTATAGTAAAATAAATGCTGAATATTTGTACATTTGTACACCAGTTATATTTGATACAGAAAAGTGCGGGTTTCATTGTACTGAATTGCTGCCTGTGTGGAATAAAGAAGATTTCACATAATTGTGATTTGTGTAGTCTGATTCTGTATATTCGCCTCTTTGAAAATACGCTTTAAGGTTGCTAAGAATAAGTCGTCAGTGGTGGTTGAGCAATTTTAATACTCTGAGTGAGTGTGAGGAAGGTGGTGGAGGTGTGGGGGTCAATCAGCTTGTTACAATCATCTAAGACTTCATCTCAAGAGTCTTTCTGAATATTCTGGTAAAAATTTGTTTTATTTTAAACAAAATTAAAATATAGAAACTACATAAATGATCTAAATTATTATTATTTTATCCATTTGTTAACTTTTGGGTTAGCTTTGGCTACTCTCACCTACCCGGTTTTCCCATCAGTAGGTCACTTAGGATTTGCACCTTTCATCAATTATCTAACACAGCTGTCAAACTCCAGGCCGCGAGGGCCGGTGTCCTGCAGGTTTTAGATGTGTCCTTGATACAACACAGCTGATTTAAATGGCTAAATTACCTCCTGTCTTGAAGTTCTCCAAATCCCTTGTAATGAACTAATCATTTGATTCAGGTGTGTTGACCCAGGGTGATGTCTAAAACCTGCAGGACACCGGCCCTCGAGGCCTGGAGTTCGACACCCCTGATCTAACAGCTTAGTCACACTTGAGTGAAAAAAAGATGTCAACCTTCTTGGAAGTTGGAAAAAATCTGATTGCATTAATTACTTTGCTGTTGGAGACCGATTGGAAGTAGTAGCGACCACTTTCACTTGCAAGGAAATTGCACGGGTCAACTGGTGGTAGGCAGCCTTTCTCTAAACAATCAGTCCGACTTGAACTGAATGCAGTCACTCAGCCAGAAATAACTGTTGTCTAATTTATAAACACACAGATTGCCAACATGTTGAGTTTACTCTGAATTACTACGTGACTGAGGGCAAGTCGTCTGTTACACATCAGGGGGTTTGAGTCAACTTGTTGCCAAGTGGTTGTATTGTTGTGTTCCAACATAAAAGCACAGTCACCGAGTGCCTATGCTATTTTGCAGTTAAATCGCAGTTCTGCAGCAACTATGTCAGCTGACTTGCACCAAAATCACTCTGAAGATGGCAGCTGACTGCGAGTGGTCACAGACCTGGTCCCCACCATTTCAAAGGCGATGAGTTTGTTAGTGACCCCATTCACATACACATACAAGCATTTTTTTTTTCCAATATAACTCGGGGTTCAGTATCTTGACATTTGAACCACCCCAAATGGCACAAACATTTTGGTTGTGGTGTGGTCTCCCACTACAGTCTGTATAACCATTATCCCTAGAAATTGTGGGTTGTGTATAAAATGGGTGTAATTCTTAAATAGGTAATGCAATACTTTTCTTAAAGGCCTTGAATTAAAGCTGAGTGTCTGTACTTCATTCACATCTTGATTGCTCGATCTTAAATAAAAATCTATTACGGTGGTGCACAGAGCAAAATAAACTGCAACACTGTCCAAACTGTGCCAGTCAGGCTCTGGTTCACATCTGTATCACACGGCACAAATGTTCCCAAATGTTCCCAAATGTTCTAGCCCTGCTCCTTATCTACCACTCTGAGCTGAGAGGTAAGAAGGTCGTGTGTATGTGAGCTCACTCACATGGGAAATGAACCGGCAAATCAGGACGAAATGAAAATCAAACGAGAGGGGGTCGACGGAGAAAGGCAATTATCTCTAATGAACAACATTTGTCCCTAGCACACAGTCTCAATCAGATCAACCCTCCTCCCCTCAGTCTCTATTTACGCTCTCTGTTCCCATCTCCATCACAGTACTTGTTCCTCTGCCTCTTGCTGTGCTCTCCCTCCCTTTTCCTGTTATCACCCCATCCGCTCCACAGAGGGACTGCGGGATGCTGGAGGAGTACAACGGTAACAGGTGTCTCATCATTGCGCTAATAACAGGCCACAGGAAGATGTCCACACATATATTTTTATAACAACCAATGGCAGAGATGATAACTCCTCCACCATTCCCTTATATTCAGTCATTTCACGGGTGAATCACCAGGCATAAATAATTCTTACATGTTGATTGCCTACAGCCAAAAAGTCTATCTTGAGACAAATGCCCACACAGTTGCCACAAATGACCAAATCTTCCATTTAACACCAGTTCAAAACTTACATAAAGCTAAAGCTCGAAGCAATATGTGTTCTTTTTCTACCCTCAGAGAAAAAAACAACAACAAAACAATTCCATCTTCTGCTTTACTGCAAAAGAAGTCCTGGCATCGAAAACTGTCTGCAGAGATTATCGATAATACCATAACTTTTCCTCTTAACCCGTATCCAGCTTGCAGTACATATACAGATGCATCGAGCAGATCACACTGTCTCCTTACACCAGTAACGATCTCTCATTCATCAGCTGGAGACTTAGTTCAGCGCACATAACACACAATTGCACAAACAATCTTCCACACTTAAACAAACCCCAATGAAGCATGTAACTGGTAGCTTGTGCTTGGCTGTACGCTTGTTAGAGAGATATCAGCTTCTGTTTCTCTGTATTACTGTGAGCAAAGAGAATGCAGCTGCTTCCCATTATGTGCATAGGTGGCTGCTCGGGATGCGTGTGCGGCGGTATTCATAGTCATGTTCTGCAGTATCACATGGCAAAATGTGTTTATGTTGCAGGTGCAGAATGAAAGTGAATCCATTATTACAAGAGAACAGGCTCCCATGATGTATGAATAAATCAATATCTAAGCTGTAACCCCTGCAGCACCGTTTATCTAGAACAGTGCACGTGTCATTGACTTCACCCTTTTATCCAAACCGCTTTACAATGTCAAGAGCACACATACTTTTAGCCGGTATTAAATCCTGTCAGTGTGAGTGCTTTTAAAGCCACCGATTTCTTTTTATCTACTTTTTTGTGTGTGCAAGTTGTACGTGGGTGTGTGTTTGTTGGGTCATTACCCAGTCAGCCTGAGGACACAAGAAGCCATTATCCAAGGGAGTCTGGACTCTAAATGTTTGATAAGCCTCTAAAGCGGATGTCCTGTTTCTCCTCTCATATAATACACATGTCATGCAAACATGTGTAATCTAAAGTCGCAGCTACAGTTTAAAAAGAAATTAAATTTTAGTTCCCCGGAATTGCTTTTTTCCATAGTTAAGACAGTAGGATGATAATAATAGTAACAATAATAATAATAATAATAATAATAATAAATAAAATCCTCGGCTGCATGCTGCAGCAGAAACAGGAGTGTAAATGTGTTGGCTCAGCAAAGCACTGAGAGATGCCGAGCAATGAGTCATGTAGCAGTCTGATTAGCTTGCTTTCCTTCCCTTCAAATCCAGAGTTTGTTAGAATCACCCCATCTGTATATCTGTACAAATTAATATAAAAAATAAACACTTGAAAGTCTTGATGGTATTTTCTATTTATTATCAAACTAGCTGTAAATTGTATATAAATCCCACTTTAAAAATATCAGTAATATATTGGTAGTTGTTACTTGGTACTAAAAGCATTACCTTATGATTATTATTCTTAATGCCTCAACCCGTGACTTAACGGCAGTAAGAATGACAGTTTGTGTAAATATTAAGTCCTTCATTTAAATGTTACCTGGCCACTTTCCCTCAGAGGAGATCTCTGAAAGCTGACATTTTCAAAGTGCAGGCTACCACGGAGGAATGTCACAAAATATTACACGTCCTGCTGGTTTCTGGGAGCAGTAAACTGGGGGGCAGCAAGTCTTCTGGCAGCTTGGGGATTCCATCCAGGACCTCGAGATTTGGCAAACAGGAGAAAACACTGAAAATGAAGAGAGACAGAAAATGAGTATAAATTACACAGACATTATCCTCTAGAGCAGACCTGGGCATTGTATGGCCTACAGGAAATATCCGGCCCTTTGGTTGTCTCCAGGTCGATGGGAAATTAGGATGTACACATAAAAAAGTACACATCACACAGTTTGTCCCACTTCAGTCACCAAACACTGTTTGAATAACTCCCCATTAGAGACCAACTTAATGTTTTTTTGCAAAATCACAATACAACTGTTTTTATTTTGAAACTGCAGTTTTTTTGTTTTGTTTTTTTAAACAATAAACTTGGCATTACAGTGTTAGGGACCGCATTTTGAACTTCATTACGAAACTCAACGCGCAAAGAAATACAAGAATGTGACAGATGAAGAGCGGGAACAGACATCTGAATCTTTTATCCAGGGATGGACCAGTCAAGACCAAGTTTGTGATTTCCCACAAAATTGGACCCCCCACCCCCAATAAGTCATTCTCTGATGGGGAGTTCATAAAGACTTTGAGAGACTCTACTGTATTAAGGTAAACAAGATGAATTGAGGAAGTTGTGGGAAATCTGGAGCTTCAGTCTGAGCTTTTTCCTGCTGGGCTTAATACGAGAGCTGTGATGTCCAACACAGCCACTGGGACAACATAAATGTTTGCGATTATAGAGGAACTGGCAGCAATGCACTCTGTTAAAGGGACTACAACAGGGAGTGATTTGTTCGTGGAAGTGAGTGGATGTTTGGATAGGCGGGGGCTGAAATGGGACAAAATGATCAAAACGTGATAAATGTTGGTGTTTTTACTCTGCCTATTTCACATATTAACATTCTATTTGTAACCAGTAGTGGTTTAATTAATACTAAGTAGAACTGAGTTCAGCCTCTGGTATAGTCTGCTTACCGTGCACGGTAGTCCTGAGTGAAGGTCACTGGGTTGCGGGTCAGGTTCAGGGAACGGAGTGGGCTGTTCCCCAGAGCTCCCAGTCCCCCCAGGGAACCAATGGCGTTCTCAGACAGACAAAGGTGCTCCACTGCGGGGAGCTTTGGCAGCTGACGCAGACACACCAGGTGGTTACGGTGCAGGTTTAACACTCTGCACCTGCCCATGCCAAACACAAATACTGCTTAGCTTTTTGTTTTGTGCCAAACAGTACAGCACAGACAAGCATACTCAGAAAGAAGGTAAGAAAACACTAATTAGCACGCAAACAGTCCCATCACAGGCTGAACAGAAGAAATATTACATAACCTTCACTTATTTGTTCAAAAGCACTGAGCTACTATCTTTAAATAACATAATTTTAAAAAGTGCAATGTGAGTTTCAGAAGCTGACTTCAACACTAAACCCACGTGGCCAACGTTATAAAAACAATGATGATTAATTATAGAATATAATATTGTTTGACAGGACATTTCTCTTCATTTTTAACAGCTAAATGGATTTAATAAAGCTATAATGAATGCTGTAGTAATGTCAGTCAGATTAATTTCAGTTTTGGACTCTATCTATCTATCTATCTATCTATCTATCTATCTATCTATCTATATATATATATATATCACCATTTGGAATTTCACAGTATGTAATATTCATAGTTTCTCCAGGGAGCTGTTCCAGATGAGGGCGTTGTGCTGCAGCTTGGGTGTCATTTCATACCTTGGCAGACGTACAGAACTCAGGCTGGTGAGGGAGTTGTCAATCAGTTGAAGTTTCTCCACTCGGATCAACCGGCGGAGGATCCGGAGGAAATTTTCTTGCTGGAAGGGATCACCCAAGTCCTGATAGGACAAATTTAACTCCTGAGAAGAGACAGGTGGTAGAGGTGTCAGAAGCAATCTTTGTTGCCCTCTCCTCCTCTTCTTCTCAGTTTGCACCTTCCCTTCTTTCCTTTCCGCAGCTGTGACTTTGCTCTTCTGTGCTATATATGGCATCTTTAACATCACACACCCACACATATCCTGCGTGCTAGCTTACCAGACAGTTTTCCCAGTTCTCTTGAAGCCTCTCCTCCCATCTCTGTCCTTCTTCCTCTCTTCTCCTGCTCCTCCCTCTCTCCAAACAGATGCCATCCCTCTCTTTTAGATGTAACTCATCTTCTGATGGCCCTTTGATTACAATGTAAAAATGTTTTTAAAAGTCTTTAACAATCTTCACATTATTATTCATCTGGTGAAGAAGCTAAATTAAGAGACTCGCAAGTAATGAAAGCAGCACAAAAATGGCAGCGACACAGCTTCTTTAGAGGTTTTCTAAAACGCTTCATGAGCTAGAAAACTACAATTTATTTTCTATTGCTCTGGTTAGGTTACTGAGGTGGTTTTCTCACATCAGCCACACACCTTCTCTAACCCTGGGGCACGTCAGCTGGTCACCTGTGACATCACACTGCTCCAGGCCATGCCACAATGCAAACTGGAACCGACTTGATGGAAGCTGATGAGAAAAGATGAAGAGGGGAACAGGGTGACAGACGAGATACACAAGAAATGTGTTACTATCTGACCACTTCATTAGGTACACCTGTTCATCTGCTTGTTAATGCAAATATCTAAGTTTGCATCTAAGTTCAAACAGAGCATCAGAATTACAAAGAAAGGTGATTTATTTGACTTTAAAAGTGGCATAGTTGTTGGTACCAAATGGGCTGCTCTGGGATTTTCAACACAACCATCTCTAGTTTACAGAGAATAAACTGATAATTAAAAACATATCCAGTGAGCACCATTTCTTTGCCTTGCTGATTTCAGAATTAAGAAGAGAATAGCCAGGCTGCTTTGAGCGGATAGAAAGGCAACAGTAACTCAAATAACCACTTTTTAAAGCCAAAATATGGAAACTGAGACAGATACTGATGTTGACATGGGTTCACCAAAACTGGACAGCAGCAGATTGTCAAAATGTTGCCTGACAGGTCTTAATTTCTGCTTCAACGTCAAGATCATAGAACCACAATTTGGTGTGAATGATGTAGAAGCATGAAACCATCATGCATTGTATCAACAATTCAGGCTCCTGTTGCTGGCGGTGTAATGTAGGAAATACTTTATTAGCACACTTTAGGCCCCTTAAACTGAGCATCATTTAAACATCACAACCTACCTGACCCTTGTTGTTGACCATGCCTTTGTAACCATTGTGAACCAATCTTCTGATGGCTGCTCACTGTACTCACATGGCCTCCATAATCTCCACATCTCACTCCAATAGAGCACCACTGAGTTATGATAGAATGGGAGATTCTCATCATGGATACGCAGCTGACAAATCTGCAGAAACTCTCAGAGAATTTGGTCAATATGTACCAAATTCTCCGAGGAGTGTTTCCAGCACCTTGTTGAATCTGCGCCACGAAGGGAAAAGTCCAACCTAGTACGAGCAGGGTGTAACGCAGGTGTGGGGAACTCCAGGCCTCAAGGGCTGGTGTCCTGCAGGTTTTAGATCTCACCCTGGATCATCACACCTGAATCAAATGATTAGTTCATTACCAGGCCTCTGGAGAACTTCAAGACATGTTGAGGAGGTAATTTAGCCATTTGAATCAGCTGTGTTGGATCAAGGACACATCTAAAACCTGCAGGACACCGGCCCTTGAGGCCTGGAGTTCCCCCACCCCTGGTGTAATGCATGAAGTGGCCAGTGAGTGTAGATTTCCTTCCTTGATTAAATACGTAAATAAGTGCCATTCGTGAATGCACCATTCTGCCAAGTTTCAAAGCTATGATATCATCTGTGACACATATGCAGTCACAAATCTGCAGACACCTTTCAGTGAGGTGTGTTGTGCAAATGACACCAGTTATGAGCCATATTCTTCCCCCAAGTTTAATCACATTCCCCTCATTAATAGTCAAATTAATTTCAGCTTCAAGATCAGGACAGTCAAATAACTGTCATGTCAATGGGCAAAAAGAGAGCGATACATGGGAATCGTTTAGAAGAACAGGAGACACAATTAAGTTTAATCTACCATGGTTGCCCATTAGTCCAACATAAACTTTATTCCCCGAGCATACAGAGAGCATGAAGCTAAAATCAATGGCTCATTTATAAGACTATTAACCAATACTGCTACCTGTGAAGGTTGACAAGAGCCGCTACAGTTTTATTATCCTGTAATGACACATTGTCTTGCTGACATCATCCTTCTCTTTCCTCTCTTTACGTATCAGTGCATGCATTCTTTCCCCAGTTTAGCTCTACCCCCCGTCTACAGGGCTGTGTATCACATCAACTGTATAAAATCAAATAGCAGCTGTTGCTCATAGTTTCATTAGTGAGTCTGTGAATCTACTTTCATCTTCTAATGATAAACATTAAAATATTTTCCATTTATGCATTTTTTCCTCAAATGAAGACTATTTAAAAGTCATCTTGGGATATTTATGCAAATATTTATCATATGAAATGAAAAGTTATGATCCTATGTTGACTGTTTTTGGGATGCAGCAGCCTTGACCTTATCATCCCTTTTATACTCATCCTGTTCACTCTTACTGTGTAACTCTCCACTCCCTCCGCCTGGTAATCTAGACACAGGAATGACCCAAATCCAGCTAACTGTTGCTCCTCCTTTTCCAGACTCTCCAGTGTAAATGTTTTCTTAAAGGTTTCTGAACAGTGTGGGAGACAATAATGGACGTAATCTAAATGGGAAGTGCGTATGATTCATTCCCTTATACAGTCTTTATATCACAATATCTGACAACATCTAAATACATTAATAATTTAAAAAAAAAAGCATCCCTGTCTCTACTAAAACAGGAGCATTAGTCATGCACGCAGCTCAAACCAGAAGGCCTTTTTCTTTTGCAAATAATTATTTAGAGATGCTATTTTGCTGCAGGATTTTAAGCAAAACACTTTGAAGTTGTTTAAAACATGACATACAGAGGGGTTTCGGGTTTTTTTCAGCCCAAGTGGGAGAACTCTGCATGGAACATAAGAAGGATTAGGTGAGGAGTGATTTTTCCCCCCATCTTTCTTAAATCACATATCAGCGAGAGTAAGAGAGTGAGTGAGAAAACACTCTGCACAGCAGTCTAGGCGAGAGGCCAGTGGCTCGAGGGTAAAACAGCGAGTGCAGAGAACAGAGTGCAGAGTGCTGAGAATATTATTCAGCTCAGAGACGGCTAAAAGAGAGAGGGAGACGGGATGAAATGGAAGGCTGTTTAAGATGAAGGAAGGAGGAGGCAAAGGAGAATTTGTGAGGGAAGGGTAATCACAGGTTTATCCAGTGTGTGCGTGTCACTTACGGGTGTAGATACGAGTCCAGAGTCAGGACTTTGGTCCACAGACAGAGGTGTGCCTGTAACCCTGAATTCAGAGCCATGGGATGAGTGGGATTTGGGGAAACTGCCAGTGAGTGTGTTCACACCTGAAGAGCTGAGAAAAGGGGGAGAAAAAAAATAAAAAGAGAGACAATAATTATCCCATCTTCCATCCCTGTTTGAAGTGGAGCTGTTCTTTGGTAATGTAATCCCTGGTGTGTGCTAAAACCCTGACCACCGGCCGAGTGGTTAGGGTTACACTGAACTGGGCCCGACAATGCAGATTAGGACCCGTTGCCATAGCTCCAGAGGACACCTGAGCAGGTGCTATTAGGTTATAATAATCTGTGTCGGCAGGGGGTAGCTGGACCCTCTATAATTGATACTGCATGCCCTGTGGCGGTGTGCTAAATAGTTATCATACAAAAGAACTGCGTAGATGATACTATATTTATTTATTTATATTTAATTAAATATATATAAATTAAACGATTTTTAAATGTTATACCTACGTTTTAAGCTAAATTGGCTTCGTTTTCTTTTCTTACATATTCGAGGTTCAATAAAAAATATAGAGAGCAAATAAACCGAGGGTAGTAATAGAGACCATTACTGTGATGAACTAAATGAAATTTCAGGCAGAGGTAAGACGACTGTTAAGGATATTATCTCAAATTTTCGAGTTACTGACTTCAGTCTAAATTTCGACGACTTTTTAAATTTTACTGTTATTATATTGTATTTTTTCAGTAGAAACAAGCTTCCACATTTCATTGTAGCCATTTGGCTATGTCACTGAGGGCTAAAGCCTTCAAGTGTTAGCAATGGCATTAATGAAGGTTTCTCTCTATTTAGGTAGAAAACCTTAATTAATGGGCAAATTATTTCACATCACACAAGGTGCACTGGATGAAAAAGCTACACTGACGGGCGTCACAGAGTGAAGCTGGTGTCTGTCATGCAGACACAGCTGATTCGCCTTACCTTTCTGACATGTCCCAAGAGCCTTGTGATGAATTTTCCCGGCCTTCTTTAGCACATTGCGGACGGCTCGCTGTAGCCCTGCAGCCCCGTGGCTGTTACCCATGGAGCCCGCCGTGTTTGTTAGGATTCACCCAGCGAGAGTTGACCGTCCTGCTGGCCGGCTGTGGCTCTGCAGAGAGAGACTGACAGCAGTGTGGGCCCAGAGCCGGAGCTGCCAAGGGCGCTGCTCAGGCTTATCACTCAGGACAGGTAGAAATTAGAGCAGAGTGCGCGTGAGGGCCGCACCACGCGCTCGTGAAGCTGTTATTCAAAGTTCAAATGGATTGTGACAGCTAGTATAACGAAGGCTTTTCAAAAGTGACAAAATCACAAATGAGCCTGCTGAAACGCAAGTTTTTGTCAGAAAATGTGACCTAGTGACCTCTAGTTCTTTCTTTCGTCTTTTTTGCCACACAGCCTCCTCCTCTCGTTTTCTCAAGCAAATGCCTGCCCAAGAAATACCTCGACATATAACTATTTACAAAGTGCGTCAACTCTAAGGCAGTTTACATATGTGTGTAAATTATTGTTAATGTTCACTCGGTATTGTAAACCTTTTGGAAGGCTGACCATGCATTACATTTTGCGAGTTCAATTGTAGCCACAAACGTGATTATTATCCCTCCTGCTGCTGGCACACATTAGTGGAATAAATCTATAAAGCCAGACCAAACAATAAAACGAAATTCTTAAAAACAAATTACTTTGCATCTCTGCAAGTATTTAACCAGCAACTGTCCATATAGACAGTAGCTAGAGAAAAGTCTTTGTATTTTCTTGTAGTTTCTGTACACTATGGGGCAGAAGAGGTAAGAGAGGAGCACACAGTGAAGGTATATGGAGCAGATATCATCGCAGCTCGTTTAAGACGTTTAATTAAGACGTTTAGATTAAGAACACCTTCTTAAACCCGTGGACAATTGTTTCTCCATAGTTTAGCTTATTGAGTTTAACATTTAATAGTGAATCTCACTTCTCACAGTTAAGTGAAAACACTAGGAACTGCTCAGCAGTGTGGAAATGAATCATTGTAACTTTGCATAGAGCTTTGGCTTATTGTTAGCTGATTTAGTGCTTCCGATGGACAGTATATAACTCATTATATAATGATCCTTCTTAATAACTTTAGTTGTATTTTTTTAAGCCAACTTCATTTTGTGTGGCAAACGTAACAAAAGATATGCACATAAATGTTACATATAAACACATTACATATAAACAAAAGGAAAATATTTTTTAATCAGGATTCTTTTATTCTATTTAAGATATATTAAAATACCGACAGTTTCCTGAGTACCTGATAGTGATCATGACCAGCAGCATGACCAGAGCACAGGTCTCACTCCCTTCACCAGCTACATGATCTGTGTGCATGTGTGTTCAGGAGGTAGGTTATGCAGGCTTGAAATAATTCCAAGATGCCTTTGCTGGAAAATGTCTGGCTAAACTCCAAAGGCTTCAATAACTAAAGCATTGCGTGTTTATCATTCACTCACTCGTTTCTTAAAAGACACAGCTGGAGCTGGTTTGGCGCATTAGTGGTTATGCAGCTTTAGAATTAGGGAAAGGCCTGTTGTTTACAGTCCGCATAAGCTGTCGTGTCCTTGAATTAAAAGTGCGTTTAACTTTTGGTAACACTTTATAACACGGCCCACGATGAAAGTCGTAATTCCACAGTACCTAAATCAGATTTCAACATTTTTAATATAATGTAGTTATATTTACATGCAAGTACTTAAAGTCAGGGACATTTGAATAAGGGGCTAAGAAATCATGTTTTTGCTGGAAACAAATAAGCAATTATACTGTAAGTAGATTTAAGCACTGCATAATTTCCTGGTAATTTAGTGGAAATTAAAATACATATGTACATTGCACATTTTGGGGTGTGGGCTGTATCATGGAGTGGCTTAACTATTATTACAGGAGAGGAGACACACATTATACTCTAAGTAATTTTATTACACCTTGAGTAAAAATGGACAATTCAATAATAGAGAAATCAATTATGCACATCAATTTAATAAATATCAAATAAGAATATATAAAAAAGTAAAAATTTAAAAATGTAAGTTTAAGCCACTCCAAGGTAACAAGGGGAAACTGTTTGTTTTTCCACAAAATTACCAAGAAAATAGACAGTACTTAAAATTATTGATGCAGTCCTTAAAATGACTCCTTAAATTTACTTACAGTATTATTATTTAAACCTTTAAAAAAAGCATGTTAATATATTTACATTTCATTTTAAAAATAAAATGCACTGAAATTCCATTTAATTAAAGGGAAATTACACCCTTAGTTGCATGATGTATTATAAAGTGGTACCTACCTTTAAAAAAAAAAAACAAGACAACAAACAACCTCTACACACAAAGAAAGTGGTACATTTTAATGGGAACACATTCATGTTTTTATTGAATAAAATACTCAATACAGCTGGTGTTACTGTTTCTCCCTGTATGTACATCCAAAGCAGTGCAGCAGATCTTGTTCAGCGCACCTGCATGCTCCAGTCACTCTCTAAAGCAACCGCTTTAGCAAGCTTTAAGACGCCCAGCTGGGTCTTAATCAACCACTCTGATGTGATAAGGCATATTAGTTCATTAGCAGTGTAGCCATGTGCCTACAGTGTAAAAATGTCTCAATACTGTCTGGAACAGATATATTACTAAGATTTATCATATAAGGACAAAGTGTTTGCACATGTTTATTCTGCAATAAATATTGAGCATATATATGTATATAGAACACAATGTCAAATGTACAGGGATGTAAGTTAAAGTAAATATTTCCAAAGAGGAAGGGTTTTGTGCATTTTGTGGGCATGAGTGTGAGTGAGTATTAAGCTGCTGAACTTAAAAGGGTTGTGCACTAATTACATCCCAGGTGTACTTCCAGCTCACATACATACAAACCCTACTTTACTAGAGAATATTTACAGCTTCCTCTTTCTGCACGTCTCTATCCAGGAATTTAAAGCTCCCAGTATCAAAACACAGCCACGTAACGTGTCAAATGTCATGTTTCAATATATAATATATCATATAATATTCAGCTTATAGATCTATTGTTTTTTTCATAAAGAGTATAAAACACAGCTGAAGATGGTGACACAAGATAGGTAGCATTTATGACGTCAGGATCTGATTGGCTGAGACTGTGTGACCTCATGTCACAGTTACATGGAGTCAAAGTCATGGTCGTTGGGATCGATGATCTCAGGAGTCATGACTCTGCCCATGAAGAGGATGGACCCTGGAGGAAGACAAAAACAAAAACGTATCCCTTATATGTACCAGCTTACTTAAAATATGTATTTTGAAGGTGATGCATAGACACACAAACCACTGATTACTCGTATTTTCACACACAGAGATTCACGCACCTGTTCTCCTGTTTCTGATAATGAAGAAGAATGGGTGATCAGCCATGACCTGTGGGTACAAGACCAGAGTCCTGGTCAGGGCAATCATTCCTAAGAGACGGGGAAAAAAAATCATCAACATTTATACACTACAAAATGCCATGTATTTAGTAATGTGTGGAGTAAAACACAAAAATATACCTGAACCAACAGCTCCCTCTGCCCCCTCCTCTGTCACCTCCAGGTAGGCCTTCTGCACCGCTTTCCCAATGTACAGATCCTCAACATCTGGACAATGTACACAGAAAAAACACAGCACATCGCCTTTTCTTTATAAGATGTATGCATATCTATGCTGAGGTCTAGAATATATCCTGTTACTGACTGAATCAGGATTGCAAGCCAAACATATGGGTCACATCAAGTCACAAGCATTGGTCAGAAACTATTCTTTAGCCAATGATTGCTTTTTAACACTGTCCCCAGTTATCTACCAGCCTGTCTGAACAGAGCGTGTCCTCTGAGTAGATATTTGGCTGAGGAAGTGTTAGCAAGTGCAAGATGTACCCGAATTCAGTACTGCCTACTCTGTTTCACTATACATCACCAAATCCACCTGATAAGAACAAGCGGTCTTGAGCTAGATTGATAATCCTGAGGGAAACTGACATTATAAAGTTGTTTCAAATGATAAGTAGTTATCAATTTAGCTGAATATTACTTATGTGTCCACATTATTTACCCTGACATATTTATGTCCCTATTTCTTTGCCTCTGTGGATCTACCTGTCTCACTCTGTGCATCTATTTTTAACAGATGACGTGACAGCTCTGACCTGCCCACTCAGTGCCAGTTACCTTGGTTACCTTGGAAAGTACTGAAGGCTATTTCACTGCTCCAGAGAAGAACAAGTATTAAATGTTACATACTGAAGCGTTTTAGGAGTTTATGCGCTTCATTTTTATGCCTCACCTGTCATGGCAGAGAGATCAGCATTGTTGGTAAAGATGTTCTTTATTCCCAGTTCCTGCAGAGTGTCCTTCAGATCGATCTTCTGCTCCACCTTAAACCTGAACAGGTGAGGTTTGACTTAGAGTTGAGTTTGGGATTCAAAAAGGGGACTATAATGTAAATGGTCTAAAGGCGCAAAGGTGACAGATGAAGCTAGCGACACATACCACAACATAAGTGAGAGGTGGTGAGTGGACTTGCACATCTATAAAAGTCTCACCTCGGTAGATAGACTTCCACCTTCTGTCGTTTGACATTGTTAGCCCACTCCTCCAGCAGCGGCGCTTTAATGATGGGCTCCAGGGAGGCCAGAGGTACTTCCTGCCGAGGAAGAACGATCATCATGGACATGTCCTCTCCCTCGTAGGGCATTTCCAACACCTGGTACACACCGCCGGCCTCCTGTGAGCCGTCACTGAATTCGCCTGACAGGGAGGAAACATATAAATCTGTGGGTATTGATGGATATATGCGAAAGCTTGCACGCTCATATTGTATGTGCTGGTGGCCCCCTGTAATGTGTTTGTGAAGTTCACTGAGGAAGAACATTTACAAATGGAAGCACGCTGAGGCGCATTGATTGGCCGTATTGA